TTTTGTATTCCTGTGGCGCTAAATATAATTGTTGAAAAATGATTTTGTACCAGGAAAACAACAAAAAATATATGTGCATGCGTTTCCAAGATATTAATAGAATAATTATTGAAAGTATGGCATAAGAAAATGTTTGTATTTTTGTGACCCTAATACAATTATTGAAAAATTGTTTTGTTTTGTATCAGGAAAACACAATATGGCGTCAATATAATTCCCGAAAAATGGTTTTATATCAAAACAAGATTAAAATACGTTCTTCCATTTCTAAGATGGCAATGGCATAATATTGAACGTGAAATTTGGATAAGAGAAAATAAAGAACATCCCCGTATGCCTGTGATCCTAAGACAAATCCTACCAGTCAGTAGTTTTGGTGCAATCCCAAATGAGCAGTTTACCTTTCTTCCAAGGAATCAAGATCCTCATCAAGATGGTTAAAAGTTTAGAATGCAGCCCACAATTAATTTGCTGGTTGCTCAAGAAGGCGGGGAAGGCTACATGGGCATTTTTTCTTATGCCGAGCCTACCGTTGCGGATTGGGAGAAAAGAGATCGTCAATTGTAATTCTGTAAAGCTACAGTTCATGAAAATCTTGATCTATGATTGAGAACAAGTTCATTGTGGTTCCATAGAGGAGTAGATAAGTCAATTTTGGGACGAGTAAGCAGTTCTTTAGGAGGTGGTAAGCCACGTGACAGTTCACATCTTTCAATCTGTTGATGAGAAGTTGGATAGCAGCCTGCCTCTTAAGCAGGATAGCTTCATCAGGTCTGCCAGCACACTCTCCGGTGGACCTGCTATGGTTTCGTCATTCAGGTACCGGAGATTGAGATCCAAAATCAGGTCCTGGATCATTGGGTGGATGATAAGAGGTCCGCATGGATCACCTCGCTAAGCTCCGACTTGAGAAGGTATGATCTCCGTTCCGAAGAAAGGGGAAGAAGGGGTTGCATAACGTTGGTACAGGAAGCAGATGGAGCTTACAATTTCAAGAGGTTCTGTGATCCTGCGACCACAATTTCTGGAAAATACATTTGTATGAAGAAAACATCATACTTGAGATAGTGAGCACTTCCTTGTATTTTTGAGACCCTAATACATTTCTAGAAAAATATCATTTTTAATGGTCACTCTTCACCTCCAATTCTGTGATCCTGATACTACCACCGATCCCAATACAACCATCGTTGACGTAATGTCATAATAAGATATAACCAATCAACATTAGACTTTCCAGTGCTTCTGTGGTCTTAGTTAAATTTGTATCAGAACAACATAAAACGTGACAGTCAATAATTTTAAGCCTCCTGGTACCTCAATTGATCTTGATACTACTAAGGGTATAAATGCAAACGTAATAAATAACGAAGAAAATACCTTACGTTTCTATGATCTTGCTTTGTACAGTGTGTAAATTGAACTAGGCTCTCCCCAGTAACCTTGGCAGATTTGGCGATATGGTCATAAAATTTGTATATGAGTAAAAATACCTTTGAATACTCTAAACAGTATTTTCCTATCACTTTCGACCTAACAGGAAGTTAGTGACCAAACAGTTGTAAATGGGACACTCCTTATATTATTACATTTTTGGATCCTACAGACAATGTTATACTTGGTACGTTGTTCTCGATAATGTAGGTATACGAGGTTGATCAGAAAAATAATTAATAATTAATCATTTTTGCTAATATAATAGAACTAGTTTACTCTTTTATTCAACCGCAGATCACCAGTCATTTGAAATACATGTACAACGGGCTTCTGAATAAAAATAAAGTAACTTTGATAATTTCGTAATTTCGTTTAAAATCGGACAAAATTAGGCCAAATCGATTTTTGAATCAATGAGGAACGATTCTGATCCATTCATAGCCAACTACTGCAAAAAATAAAATTAAAAAATTTTTTCCACCAACCTCGTATAAATTACTGAAAACAATATATCAGGTCTGTAATATCTCCAAATGTCAAAATATGTATATTTTTTAAGGGTGGGCAATCTCCAAAAAATATACATATACAGGGTGGTGACTTGCGTCACGCATCATAGGGATTTCAATGTAAAATTTATAACATGCGATTATCGGCTCCCCAAATTATCTTAGAGCAAAAATGTATTAAGGTTTTTTGTAGAAAAAAATTTTTTACGTCAATTATTAGTTTTCAATTTTTTATATAATAAAGACGGAAAATTGGAAAAATAAAACCCGCATCTTTTTCAATAATCTGCGATGCCATGGAATTTTCTAAAACAAAAAGATATCCAGTTATCAATTAGCAGCAGTTCGAAATGGATTTTATGATCGACTTGGTTACTGTATTGCAGTTAATGGTGACTTATTCGAACATTTATTGTAAATTGTTATATTAGGAAACCGTTTTTAGTAATTTGCTCTTTCTTTATGTTAAATTCGCTGTTCTAAATATAATACTTTTTGATAGAATTTGATTTGTTTTATAGCAGACATTCCATGGCATGACGGATATTGGCGTAGTTTTTGTATTATAAAATTCCATGGCATCACAGATTATTGAAAAAGAGGCGGGTTTTATTTTTCCAACTTTCCGTCTTTATTATGTAAAAAATTGAAAACTAATACGGTTGATTGACGTAAAAAATTTTTTCCTACAAAAAACCTTAATACACTTTTGCTCTAAAATAATTTGAGGAGCCAATAATGGCATGTTATAAATTTTACATTGAAATCCCTATGATGCGTGACGCAAGTCACCACCCTGTATATACATATATAATTGAATTCACTTCCGGTTTATGCCTATATGTATATTTTTTAAGGGTGGGCAATCTCCAAAAAATATACATATAGGCATAAACCGGAAGTGAATTCAATTCGTTTCGAAAAATTCCCCTTATGTGATGGTTTTGTCCGTCCGTCTGTTCCCCTTTGTACTCTTCTGTCATGGTCGTCATTGAGTCTTGCACCGAAACAAGAGAATATCAAGTACCCGATTGCCCTATTTAGGCATAAACCGGAAGTGAATTCAATTCGTTTTTAAGGGAATTTTTCGAAAGAAAAAATCCCCTTATGCGATGGTTTTGTCCGTCTGTCTGTTCCCCGTCTAACTCGAGAACGAAAAGAGACAAAGATGTCATACCTTCGCCAATCGATTTCTACGAGTTCAAGGATCATAGCTATTGAATATGAGCCGGATCAAAAGTCTGGTTTCCCAATACGAGCCGAGTGGCAAAAAAATTCCCCTACTGAAAATCGTATGCGATTCTTCGTATCTTCTTACTCTTAATATCGCCCATGAAAATGTTATATTCATACCGGCAATTTTGCTAAAGGAGCGAGTCCAATTTGGTACACATGGTAAAGCTAGTGAAAGTTTCATGAATTTTCGAGTGAGGCTTATATTATATTTTTCAAAGTAAAACACATCTAGTTTTGTGCTCATCCATGTGGGGAATGAGATCTCACCAGTATAATTATCACATGCTAGGTATAACATGAACAAAATCGTCATGTATGCACCTGTTTCATTGAGAAAGCCTCCAAATACACTACTTGATCCTCGAAACCTAATTTTCGTACTCTGCTGTCATGGTCGTCATTGAGTCTTGCGCTGAAATAAGGAATATCAAGTGCCCAACAGTGACTCAAGAGCTTCAAAATGCATATCTGGAGGAATGAAGCGAACAGGTGTTCATACCACAAGATTGCGGACTCCTAAACATGAGGGATCTCCACCACATTTGGTATTTGTGGATCTCTGGAGTAACGCAGGTGTTCCAACACCCATCAACTTGCTTTGTTTGGGTGACCAAACAAAACAGAAACCTCTCTCAAAAAAATTCACGGTGGCCATTGCCCAAAACACACGATTAGTAATCGTCGCTTTATTTGTGTACCATTATGAATCCGTGAATCACCGAATCCTACATTATGTTATTTTTTTTTCTTGCGTACGTATCTTAGCGCACGTTTATTTATACATAAAATTCAAAAATAAATGGGAAAACCTGTGAATGACAGTTATTAGTAATGCACGCTCATACAATAGTGCAACTTTTTGGCTCAAATAAATCGTCTGTTTTACACGTAAAATTACTTAATCATTTGAATAAATGCGTGTGAGATTGTACAATTAGAATAGATCGTGTCATGGGAACCCATTCTAGTCCCAACAAAATCGCAAAAGTTCGCAATTATGCCGAAGCATTTAGACTCGTTTATTTTTGAGGTGCGCTCCGAAAATCTTAGGGAATTTTATAGTCAAAGCCATATAAACAAAGCGGCTTTTGGGGTCGATTATAAATTGATAGGTTATACCAAAAGCCGACTAAAAGCAGACGATTTTCGGATACATTTAACAATGTTAATGTTTACTAAACAGAGCCGTTTATTTTAAAACCCACGAAATTACAGCACTTTCCTCTAATGTAATCTTTAGAGATTGAATAAACAAACTTTTATTATTTATAGTTACTTTCGCAATTAATTTCTATACTTATTCTGCTTCCAATACCTCTATGCGTAGGTGTCGGAAGATTCAAGTACAAGTAGATCGACCCTTCTATCTAGGAAAGGAACTGGGATCAGTTTTTAACATAATCAAACAGTTCTGCAGACTGCACAGAATTATTTTACATTGTTTATTGTTCCATAGTTGCCATCGCCATAACTTTCTTGTTGCATCACGATCACATAAAGGCAAATAGAGTTTAAATTTATTACCCCAACACCATTTCAGGTACAATGTTGCGAAGGTAATTTTGCAAATAAAGTAGTACCAACGTTACAGAATGACGAGCATTTCCTTTTAATGCAAATTTCATTTTAAAAACAGTAGGTAACACAAGATTCTTGCGTTTATGTTATCCTGATAAATCTCTGGTTGTATCAGGAGCACAAATCAGCTACTGTTGTGTGTACAAATGAAGCTTAAATAGGTATTTTTTGGACTGTATGAATGTAATTGCTTGCTATGCTTTTGTATATGAGCGACGTTGAAAGAATATTGACACTAATGGTTAGCGTGTTTATTGCTTAAAAATACAAATATAGTATTTGATTCTAAATCTTAGTTTGATGATCGATACGACACATGCACTAGAAATTGGAATAATTACGAAAAGAAAATGAGTGAAATGACTTACCTGTTAATGTTCGAAGTAGGTTCAATAAACAAACGAAGACGATGATGGCTGGCGTTGGTGACTTTTTTGTGGTAGCGATAATGAAGATTGTTGGTTGATTTAACGACAAAGGAGATAATTCAGCTTTGGCAGCGTTGTACAAATCAGTTCTACGAAAATGGCATTATGCGTTTTAACAGACACGCTCATTATTGATGGTTGTGCGACGACATCTTGTATTCTTCTTCGATTGTTGTTCGACGAATGCGCATATGTAGACTTCATTCTCACTTCGGCGCCGCACATAACAAGTGGGAATATATACAGAGACAGGCGTAATAGTTATATAAAAGATAAATTCATTGAAGGAACGAATTTTAGTGTGGGCAAGCAATAATTACAGAAACGCAAAATTAGTGAAATTTATTGACATATACCTTCTCAACTGTTGTGCTCCATGCAAGAGAACAAATCTTTAATTGTAGTCTCATTTTCAAACCTCAATTTTGCTGTACTTCAATAGTTTCCATGAATTAATTAATAAACACCTCCCGCACCGTGTATAAAGGGAAACATTCTTTAAAAAAAAAGATACATACATTTTCACCAAAACCGTTATCCCATTAGATAGCTCCTCAGTCCTTCACCCTTCCTATTTCATCATGGAAGAGACTTATCAGTTCCCTTCACTTCACCGTTTTGTTTTTTACCAAACTATGTCGGGTAGGTGCCAAAAATCTGACTATTGTTACAAGTACACTATCTACCCCCAGTTTTACGTTTGCTCTTCGCCTAGATCTTTAAATTTCTTTTGCCGTTCACTTCCCCATCATCACGATTTAAAAAAGAGCGGGTTTAACCCTCACGAACAGGCGCTAAATGAATGCCAATTTTTTAATTAACTTAATTTAAACTTAATTTAACTTAATTTTAAATTATGACGTATCGATGATTATGATGACTTATAGACTAGGTAGAAACCAATTTCGAAAGAAAATTAAAAGGGCTGTAACTTTTGAACTAGTAGCCCAATCTTGGAACTGTTTGAAATTATGGATTCAACACGCCACATTCTATAAGAAAATCTTTTTTCCCGGTCGATCTGAGACAATTTTTTTTTCGGGGCTCAAAAAAAGGCAGTGTATAACCTTCCTTTTTTACCAAAAATCGACTAACCAAAATTTCTCGGGAAAACACTTTTTCTTATTAATTTGGGTGCGTAGAATCCAAATCAATTCGTACTTTTTCGATCAGACTTCTCATTCAAAAGTTATAGACTAGAAACCAATTTCGAAAAAAAATTCAAAGGGCTGTAACTTTTGAACTAGTAGCCCAATCTTGAAACTGTTTGAAATTATGGATTCTACAGGCCACATTCTATAAGAAAATTTTTTTTCCAGGTCGATATGAGACAATTTTTTTTTCGGGCCTCAAAAAAAGACAGTGTATAACCTTCCTTTTTTACCAAAAATCGACTACACCAAAATTTCTCGGGAAAACACTTTCTCTTATTAATTTTGGGGCGTAGAATCCAAAACAATTCGTACTATCAGACTTCTCAATCAAAAGTTATAACTGATGACGATCGAACAATTAAATTATTATTATTATTATTATTATTAAATTTGTACTAGAGACTAATTCCAACCTTCAAAATGGTATTAGAACTTGAACCCCTTTACTGGGAGTGTTCTAGCTCAAGAGTGCGTAACATTTCTAAGGGTTGAAGACCCGCTTGCATTAAATAAAATTAAATCTCTACGGCACTGGCAAAAATTTTACCGTGACAATTTTTATTTTACCTACGGCTAGCTCTATAATAAAAATGTTTTCTATGCCCCTTACCTTGCGGAAGTTTGCCCTTGATCTCCTCTGAAAACGTGCTCTGGTTTGATTGAACTCTAAAGCTTGCTTCCCACGGCCGGCAGTGATATCGCGCCACGCCAGCATGCGCCAACACTTCGTGGGAACAGTGCATCTCGAGGTGGTCCATGAAGATCCGTTATGGCGCGACCGATCCGTCGAAAGTCGGTCACTTCAAATGAGCGATGAAAATAAACACAAAAAATGTCTTGTGATCACTGAAATTAAATGTAAAATTTCCGATCAATGAAGCACAATAACCAAAATCCTTTGTTTGGATTCGATTCTCACACAAAAACCGAAAAACGGTTTCATGCAAGTAAGTTATACGGGTCGATTCCTTTAGGAATATTAAAATTCGAATAAAATTACTTATGCAAATTCCTGTTGTATACAAATCAAAAAACAACTTACAGTTATTTACGTGGGTAATATTCCCTGATCTCTCCTTGGAGAATGCCGCTTCCTTTAGAAAAATGTAAATAGATCACTGCTTTCTACACCGTCCCGGTAACGTTCTCTGCGTGCTGAATAACAAATTTGACAGTTCGGATGAATCGCGAATCCCAGCAAGCCGACTACAAATTCTCGAAACTAAAACTCGAGATCGCACAGAAATAAAATGCCAAGATTCCGCTGTGTTGAGATTAATTTGATCCAATTTATTAACTAGGTTTTGTTGCGGGCAAATGCATCAATTAATTGTCTTTAAATTCTCTGCTTTCACGCACCTAACCTCTCGCGAAATTAACTACAAAATAATCGCAATTTTGCGAAAATAAAAGCTAACCCTTTGAAAATCTAACCTCATCTGCCGAAAACCCCCTTACAATCTCGAAAATGCACACCTTTATCGAAAATGCAAACGTTGTTATCGCTTTTATTTCCAAACATACTTTCGTGCACGTTCGCTATTAAGCGGTATATGTGTAAATTTTCCTATATTCATCAAAATACAAATTCAATTTTTGAAACGGAAAAGCGGCCACCCGTTACAAGTGACTGAATGAATCCCAATTTTAGGTAGCACTAGAAACCAACCCCCATCTTCAAAAAAAAACAATGGAACATAAACCCTTTTCGAGTGCACGGGTTAAATTAATTTACATACACCTCCAGAGCTAATTTAACCCTCAAGGACAGGCATTAAATGACTAGCAATGACTAGAGACCCACTGCAGTCTTTGAAAAAGCAACCCTATTAGATTGCAGGTTTTTAATTTAATTTACTTACACCGCAAGGGATAATTTAGCCCTCTAAATGAATACGAATTTTTTAGGTAGCACTAGAGACCGATTCCATCTTGCAATGAACCCTTTTCGAGTGCAGATGTGGAATTAATTTACTTACACTTCGAAAGCTAATTGAATCCTCAATGACAAGCGCTAAATGAATACCAATTTTTTAGGTAGCCATCACCTCCCGGTACCCACCTTGTACCTATGTGGGGGGGTTGGTGGCGGTTAGGGGGTTGGTCCTGTGAATTATCGTTTTCCCGAGAAATTTTGGTGCAGTCGATTTTTGGTAAAAAAGGAAGGTTGTACACTGCCTTTTTTTGAGCCACGAAAAAAAATTGTCTCAGATCGACCGGGAAAAAAGATTTTCTTATAGAATGTGGCCTGTAGAATCCATAATTTCAAACAGTTCCAAGATTGGGCTACTAGTTCAAAAGTTACAGGCCCTTTGAATTTTCTTTCGAAATTGGTTTCTAGTCTATAACTTTTGATTGAGAAGTCTGATCGAAAAAGTACGAATTGTTTTGGATTCTACGTCCCAAGACACAGGGTTAATGCGGAAATGGGATGCTCACTGGCAAAGCTGTTAGTGGCATTAGACCTTGACAAGGATGTAACCATGATCAAAATTCATATGTCCGCACTGGCCATAAGTCGCATAAGGGCATACTTTTTTATAGTATTCCCATTGCCCTGGTCGAAAATTGAAGTCACATTACAATGGATTAATTTCTAACAATTTGAACAGGAAAATTTACCATGAGAACTCTTATCTAGGTCGTAACTTGGGCTCTATTAAACACACAATACATCATTTACAGATAAAACAAAATTTACTCGACAAAGGCAATAAATCAAGCTGAAAGAAAAGTAGGGCTCAAAGTACCAATAGCAGGCAACAAGCGATCGATTGAAACAATTAATTAAAGAATCTTAATTACATTGAAGTGTTAGTAATACAAAATATCAGGTCGCAACTGCTATTTTCATTAAATAACTCACAAAGACAAAAACCAACACTTACATTTCGATTTAGACGACATTCATTGTAATTTCAGATGTCATATTGGGCGTTTATGGTGGGAAAACTGCCTTTTACTAATACTTGAAGATCTTAAGGAAAAGTATCGCATAAACGATAACTGGTCGATAAACACAACACTCTGACTAACCCCTTCGTAAACGTCACTTCTTTAATTGGACTTAAATTTTCACTTTAAACGGAGCACAGCGGTCTGAAATGTCCAAAAAGTTGGCGAAAACTAAAAAAAAAAGATATTATCGGACAAGAATTAATTGGTCTGGCGATAAACAATGCCACGTGCGAGATAAGCAACACAGGTGGTTATCAGTTCGGGTGACGTTGATGGAATTTCGAGAATCGTCGGGAATATATTAGTGGAAGTGGGTTTTCTTTTAAATAGCTGGAATTAATTGTAAACGAGGCTCTACCGATTTATTTTGAAAGAGCGTAAAGTCTGTGAGCTGTGTACCAGTAGTTTAGCTGGTTATGTATTTTTTTAAAGAAGAAAAACTTAGTAATAAAGTAATGTGGCAACAAGGCAGCACAGACACAAACAAGAGGGGTGAATTGCTAATTGAGTATATCAATCCAACCCTTGATTCAATCTAACTAATAGCGAACACGAACAGGAAGGACCAAAATTTTTCAGGAAAGGACAAATACGAGAAATCCATCCCCGTTACTTCGACGACGTGGGGTTCGAACCCTTTAGAGCTCCTGGTGGAGACGGTATATTTCCAGCACTCTTCCAAAGGGTTGTTGGGCACATACTGTAAATTATATTTAAGCTCTACACAGCCAGCTTCTGTTTAGCTTACATACCCAGAGGTGGCAGGAGGTAAATGTGGTGTTCATACCAATTACCAAAAGGGTCAGCCTTAGTTTGTTCTTGTTGAAGGGGATGGAACCAGTTCCTGAAAATATCCGATTCACCCCCAAAACAACACGCCTATAAAAAAAAATCGACAATCACGGCCCTACAAATTTACCTATCTACCTACCCTCACACACATCAAATAATACAATAGCCACCACCTCTCTCAATAAACTTTAGCAACCCACAATGACCTACAGTCAACAGGTGAACAAGTTGCCTGGGCCTGGACATAACCCTTCCAAAATTTTCGGCCTGCATATAATTTACCTACAAACGGCATTGCCCTCCGAAAAATCTATTGTTAGAAATAGGCTAAGCGATGCGTTTATATATTTTGTTAATTCGCGCCTTCGTTTATGGCGTCACAACAAACGCTTTATATTTTTAGAAATTTAAAATTGTTGAATATGCAAAATAGTTTTGTGCGTTTACGAAGAATTTAGGAATTTCGAGCCCCACCAGAATTAGAATATTTCTGTCAAAGATGGACGAAAATAAATTTGTAAAATTCGTTGTTCCTGCGACGCCCAGGTTATATAAATAAAAGGCTCCCATAGAAAATATTTCGAGTACAATGTACCTATTTGCTTTCGTATTTTCGTTAGGTATACAATTTGAGATGTTTATCTTGCGATTAGATACTTCACTTTGACTGATAACACCACACCATCCTGTTATCGCTATTTATTTTCGGTAGTGAATTTGGTAGGTTTCCACTTCAGAAGACCATCATCGCCTCCTAGACCGGGAGATAAAGCTGTGGTTGAAAAATAATCCGTTTAGGATGCGGAATCGGCGGTTGTAAACAGAAAAAAAAAACAGGAAACTTATTTTCGGATTTTAATAAGGATATAAATTAACTCAAAAAAAGTCTCCTTATACCCACGCGAAACGACTCGCTCACCGCTCTTTTGTGCGTCTTGCCAGAATTTCCGCATTTTGAGAATAAAGACCTTTTTCCACCTGAATACGGGAGACTATTTTTAATGCGAAAAAATGGGCGGGTCGTATCAATAGACCGTAAAACAAACACTTATGTAATTAATATAGTGGAACGCGGAACGCCGCCTCCTATACCAGAAATTCCGTTTTTTTTTAATAAACATTTTTAACTAAACTAGCTGCTATTAGTGCACTATTATGTCGTTAACACTTAATTATGGCGTTGGCATACTTTTACTTTAATTACAATCTCATTACTGTCTGAAACGTCCAGCACCTTCCGATCAGATAACTTTTATTTAACGCGAAGGGGGGTCTCGCAGGGCTTTAGACCTGGACCTCAATTCTTTCGGGTGATGTGTTTATATGTAGTCACGTTACTTGGTACGACACTGTACGCTATCATACGTAATAATTTCCTACATTATTACCTATACGATATAAAATCTGTTTCAGTGGTTCATGGTCATGATATTTTATATTTGCTCAATTATAATTGCACAACGTGTTCTCGTTTGATTAATTGAACTATTATTGCAACTTGAGAATGGAAAGGGTTTTACATGATTGACGTATAAGAACAGTTTCACTTCCGCAAACAAACTTTGGAGGTGGCAAAATTTGAAAACTTGGATTGTGAACCCGAAAACGACGATGCTCCGTCCACCATTTCAGATTTCAATTAGATTCACTATTTCCTCACACATAGAGGTCACATTTTAAAACGACGTTCTTGGATATTTAAAAGGTTTGGAAATACTTACTTTTCTTTTAACTAGATATCACTTGTTTCACTTTCTTGACGTACGTTCTCTTCTCATATGCTTCTCCAATTTCCCCCCAAGCCCTTAAAAATTCTTCTCAAGTTCCGTTCTAGTTCTTCTGAAGATTTCCCCAAATTCTCTTCACATTTCGCTCAATCTTCTTAGCTCTGAAATTCGATTCATGTTCCCATCAATCAATTTCTTCTCTTAGCCTCAGTTCATCTAAAGTTTGTTTCAAAAACTCTCTTCAATGTGCATTGCTCCTTCACATGGTACCCATCAGGGTTGAGTGATTTTTATAAAAATAAATCAAATATAAGACCAAACAATTTGTGCATCAATCAATTTTACACATTCTTGATACCAGAATATTTTTAGAGAAATTTGTATCAGAAGAAGCCTAACCATAAATTGTACCTCTTATGGCGTGCTTGAAAAGGTATCAGGAGAACATATGTCAGAATCAATCAATGTTTACACCTTGATACAAAAATTGTTTGAAGGGAGATTTGTATCAGGAGAACAAAATACATGAAAATGTGCCCATCAATTAATATCGCAGCATGCCATCCTGATACACGATTTTTTTTAATGAGAAATTTGTATCAAAAGAACATAAAACCTCTTCATAAATTTTACACGAGTTTCTGTAATCCTAATACAAGAATGTGTAAGTGAATTTGCACCAGGAGTTAAACGTATCAGCCTGTAACACAATACATGAAAAGGTGGCCATCAATACATTTTACAGCTTGCGTTTCTGTGGTCCTGATACAAGATTGTTGTAAGAGATATTTGTATCAAGATAATACACAAATCTGTTCATAAATTTTATGCCTCCTTCCATTTCTATAGCATCGAAATTTGTATCAAACGAATATAAAAAGTGTCTTCCAATAAATTTTGCCGTTCGTTGTCTGATTTGGAAATAGATCTGTATCAGGAGAACATAATACTGAAGACGTATCTATCAACAGCGTACGTCTCTGTGATCTCGTTGCGCGATTGTTCAAGAGACATTTGTACCAAGAGACCAAAAACGAAAGAATCGCTCTGTTCATAAATTTTACAAGAGGTTCTGTAACCCTGATACAAGAATGTGTAGTGAAATTTGTATCAGGGAATATAAAACGCGCCGGTCAATTTTCTGGCGTTTTTGAAAACCCGTTTGTATCACAGGAACATTATTATAGTAAGGTAATCCTCATACAAGAAACGCTTGACGAGATGTTTGGATCAGGAGAACAGAATACGTGAAAAGGTGTCAGTGTCCATCAATGAATTAATATAAAAAATAAGGGCCTCTTTTGCCAATAAATACGCGAGGTGTTGTGGATATTTACACTTTGCCTTTCTGTAATCCTGATAAAAGAATGTATACAAGTGAAATTTGTATCAGGAGACCAAAAGAGAAAAAAGATATGCTCATCAATAACTATCCCAGCATATACGATTGTTTACACGAAATGTGTATCAAGATAACATAAAACGCAAGATTCTGTTCCTAAATTTTACACGAGTTTCTGTAATCCTAATACAAGAATGTGTAAGTGAATTTGCACCATTAGTAACACGTATCAGTCTGTAAGCCAATACCCCACTCCTGGCGTTATTTGAGAAGAGTTTTTTTAGTACGATAACAAAATACATGAAAAGGTAGCCATCAATAAATTTTACAGCGTGCGTTTCTATAATCCCCATACAAGAATCGTTTTAACTTTGAAGAGAGGTTTGTATCAGGAGTGAAGAGATCACTCTGTTCATAAATTTTACAAAAGTGTTTGTAACAGTGAAATTTGTATCAGGAGAATACAAAACGTAACAATGTGTGCGCCGATCAATTTTCTGGCCTTGTTTCAAAAGCCGCTTGTATCACAACAACACTACTATAGTAAGAAACTGCGTTTCTGTAACCCTCATACAAGAAACGCTTGACGAGATGTCATCAGGAGAACAGAATACATAATCCCGATACCCTGTTCGTGATTTTCTGTATTCCTGATACAGAGTGCATAAATGAAATTTGAACCAAGAGAATATATAAAGTAAGAGTCTGCCTGCTAATAAATTTACCTCTTCTAGCGTCATTTGAAAAGAAGTTTCTATCAAGAGAACATGATTCGTGAGAAGCTGCCAAAATTTACACCTTGCCTTTCTGCAATCATCATACAAGAATCGTTTGTATCAAGAGAACAGAATACGTGAAAAGGTGTCCGTGTCCATCAATGAATTTTAAGGCTTGTATTTCTGTGCTCCTGATCAATAATGTGTATAGGTGAAATTTGTAGCAACGTTTTACACGTTTCGTTTCCATCATCTTGATGCCAGAAGTTTTTTAATAGAAATTTGTGTCAGAAGAATATAAACGGTAAGAGTCTACCTACAAGAATCTTAAAGAAATACACCAGGAGAATAGATTAATGAGACCGTGTCCAGCAATAAATTTTACAGATTGTGCTTTTGTAATACGCATACAAAATACAACAAATTAGTCCAAAAACACGTAAAGACCTGTCGTTCTGGCACAAAGATATGCAAACGTGAAATTTATATCAGGAGAATATAAAAAGTAAGGGCCTGTTTTGCCAATAAATTTGATTGCTTGTTTGTACACGGAGAACATAATACGTGAGAGGTTGTGGATATTTACACTTTGCGTTTCAGTAATCCCGATAAAAGAATGTATACAAGTGAAATCACGAGAATACAAAATAAAGCGGTCTGTACGCTAATATATTTTACTCCTTCGTGTGTTTTCTTGAAAGAAGGTTTACACGAACGTTTTTAATTAAAGATTTATGAGAAGAAATAGTCCCTTCATGCTAAAAAATTTGATTATTAGCATCAGTATCAGGAGAACAGAACACGTGAAAAGATTCAGCAATTACAGTTTGCGTTTCTGTCATCCTGATACATGACCTTTTTAAGAAGCATTTGTACCTAGAGAATGTAAAACGCAAGAATCTAGCTGTTTATCAGTTTTACACCTTCTTTAGTGTCCGAAATCCTGCTGCAAGAATGTGTAATAAGTAAAATGTGTATCAAAAAGATATAAAATGTAGCAGTCTGTACGCCAATACACGTTACCCCTTCTGGTGTTTTCTTGAAAGAAAGTTTACACGAATGTTTTTAATTAAAGAATTATGAGAAGAAATAGTCTGTACATGCTAAAAAAATTGATTATCGGCATCAGTATCAGGAGAACAGAACACGTGAAAAGATTCCGCAATTACAGTTTGAGTTTCTGTGATCATGATACACGAACTTTTTAAAAAGCATTTGTACCTAGGGAATATAAAACGCAAAAATCTATGTTTTTGAATTTTACACCTTCTTTAGTTTCTGAAATCCTGCTGCAAGGATGTGTAATAAGTAAAATGTGTATCAGGAGGATATAAAATGCCGCAGTCTGTACACCAATAAATTTTACTCCTTGTGTTATCTTGAAAGAAGGTTTAAGAACGTTTTTAATTAACGATTTATGAGAAGAAACAGTTTCTACATGCTAAAAAAATTGATGATCAGCATCAATATTAGGAGAACAGAACACGGAAAAGATTGCGCAATTACAGTTCGCGTTTCTGTGATCCTGATAACCGCCCTTTTAAGAAGCATGTGTACCTAGAGAATATAAAACGCCAGAATCTATCAGTTTATGAATTTTACACCTTCTTTAGTTTCTGAAATCCTGCTGCAAGAATGTGTAATAAGTAAAATGTGTATCAGAAAGATATAAAAGGTAGCAGTCTGTACGCCAATAAATGTTACCCCTTCTGGTGTTTTCTTGAAAGAAGGTTTACACGAATGTTTTTAATCAAAGATTTATGAGAAGAAATAGCCTGTACATGCTAAAAAATTTGATTATCAGCATCAATATCAGGAGAACAGAACACGTAAAAAGACTCCCCAATTATAGTTTGAGTTTCTATGATCCTGATACACCATTTTTTAAATGAAATTATACCAAGAAGAATCTGCCAGTTCATCAATTTTGCCTGTAGTCCTGATACAGTAATGTGTAATAGTCAAGTTTGTATCAGGGAACAGAATATGTGAAAAGATTCTTGCGTTTCTGTAATCTGGATACAAGAATCGTTTGATGTTAAACAATAAATTTTACTTATTGCGTTCTGAAACGAATTTTTTAAGATATATATTTGCATCGGGAGAACATAAAACGTAAAAAACCATCACAGGAGAATGTAATACACGGGAAGGTACTTACGCTTCATGGACCCTGTTTTCTTGTGTTTTCGGATACATTTTTAGAAGAAAGGAGAATATAAACCAGTGCCAATGAGTTTGTTGCCGTTGATTTCTTTAAAATCTGCATTACTCACTCCCTTTGCACGAGAATAAGCAAAACAGTTGTGAACAAAAACCAACGAAAACACTAAAAATGCATAGAATTCGAGACATTTTAAACAAAACAGGGCGAAAAACACAACCCTGAGGAACGCCCTAGGCCAACGAATCGCATACATTTCAAACCCAATCGATCTTCGTTTGAGGTTGCCCATTAATGACATTCTTTCTTCTTCACATGTCAAGTGGAATAAAACGCTTAATTTAATCGCTCATTAATATGAAAGGCTGCTCGATGTTAATATTTATCCGCAGGTCATCGCAAAGGTGAACCTAGAAACGGATACTTATTTCAATACAATTACTGACACGTTAATGCGCTATTTCTGTGCAAATGAAATCGGGTCGTTGAGAACGATTTTTAATTTCTAAATCTTATCACCCATAGAGGCGCTATTTCGACGGATGAAGCTACTCCACTATACCAATCCTATTTAGTAGGGTTATCGTGAGATAAAGAGTGACGATTATTTTATGATTAAGTGGTAGAGCAATCCCCTAACCATGAATAAATGCTTTAAGTGTAAAGGGAGGAATGTTGGAAAAATCGTATATCTACAAACCGTTTCATTGAGACACTTGATTTCTTTATCTTTTATCTAAATAAGTTTAAGTAACGTGAACAACATATTTTTATACCGAAAATTCGACTTTGACACGACATTTTTATATTGCGATTAAAATCGCCTTTTTCGAGAGCTCCATAAATCGCTCTTTGTTTATGCATGAAATGCACGTAAAACGTTATCAAACGATCTCGCCCCTACTTCTTTTTTAATCCCGATCAAATTGCAAAGAAATGGCAAAGTCTTTGTGAATTTTCACGCTATTTTAAGAAGGCGCGAATCGATAAAGTCT